CCTCTACAAATAACAAACAAATCTATACAGCCTTTATAAATAACAAACACGCCTGTATAACCTCTACAAACTAGAACACTGACAGGTCAGTAAGGGCCCGTCTTGTGGCAATATATCCCCCATAATCATCAAGAAGCAATCTGCCCATATAGCTGAGCTTGAGGTTTGACATTTGGACTTCAAAAAGAATGACACTGATCTTTGGTCAGTTGACTTATTCTTTAATTCTGACCAACTTTGCTTCTTAATATCATAACAAAATGTTCATCAGTGAAAAATACAAAACTTGACCTTGACCCTTTGGACCCCGTGACCTGGACCTAAGGTCAGTTGACTCTGTGTTAAGTTCTGAACAACATTGCTTCATAATGTCATAACAAAATGTTCATCAAGGAAAAGGTACAAAATTTAACCTTGACCTTTGACCCAGTGACCTTGACCTTTGGTCAATTGACTCCTTGTTTAATTCTGAGCAACATTACTTCAAAGTGTCATAGCGAAATGTTCACCAGTGAAAAGATACAAAATTTAACCTTGACCTTGGACCCAATGACCTTGAGATTTGGTCAGTCGACTCCTTGTTTAATTCTGATCAACTTTGTTTCATCATGTCATAACAAAACGTTCATCAGTGAAAAGATGCAAAAAATGACCTTGACCTTTGAATCTAATGACCTTGACTTTTTACCTCAGTGTGTCTCTTTGTTTAATTCCGAACAACTTTGCTTCATAATGTCATAGTGAAATGTTCACCAGTGATAAGCTACCAAATTTGACCTTGACCCCTGATCCGATGACCTTGACCTTACGTCAGTTGACTCCTTGTTTAATTCTTATCAACTTTGCTTCATAATGTCATAACAAAATGTTCATCAGTGAAAAGATGTAAAATTTGACCTTGACCTTTGCACCTAATGACCTTGACATTTGACCTTGACTTTTTACCTCAATGTGTATTTTTGTGAACTGAACATCTTGACCACGTTTCATGTACATCAGTCCATAGATACCAAAGTTATCAGCCAGCAACAAAATTTGTGGACAGACAGACAGACAGACAGACAGAGTGATTANTAAAATCTACACACTCAGTCTAAACTATCTCCCCCAGGTAATTATCTCTACATGCAGTCTAAACTATCTCCCCAAGGTAATAAAATCTACACACTCAGTCTAAACTATCACCCCCAGGTAATTATCTCTACATGCAGTCTAAACTATCTTCTCAAAGGTAATAATATCTACACACACAGTCTAAACTATCTCCCCCAGGTAATAAGATCTACACACACAGTCTAAACTATCTCCCCCAGGTAATTATCTCTACGGGCAGTCTAAACTATCTCCCCCAGGTAATTATCTCTATGGGCAGTCTAAACTATCTCCCCCAGGTAATAAGATCTACACACAGTCGGTACGTGTCAACACATTACAATAATATTCTAGTATCATATTTCTTTCATTTGTTTGTTCAAATCACCTCGGTCTTTTATAATTTGGCCGCCACCAGCATCTGGTGATGAGATTATTTAGCCAGTTGATTGCAACAAGAAAGGAAATCCCAATAAGTGCACAAGCACAGCAAGTGATATTAATGCATTTAAGCTTTATAGAACCCCTATTGTCACGCTGATCAGTAGAATATGAAGTAAGACACTAGGACATGTGTGCTGAGACATCCTGCCATGCTACTGCACTGATTTATATTACAGGGGCTTACTTCATTGACAGATTATTGCTGAATCCACAATTATTGTTATTTGACGGGAATTGCGTCTTATTCAATAACTAATTAGCATGTTGTAAATTTATTGAGTATTCAGTAATATGTTGCTGGGGGATATTGAAAATTTTACTTCATACACAAACAACGTATAATTGTTGAGGATATAATGCTAGTGAATACCCGTCACATAACCAGACAATATGACGAGTTTTACCTCACTGTGCTACCATTACAATATATATTTTTATATAACAAGCATGTAGGTGTCTTCATTCATTTTCAAAGATCAGCATGCACATCTCCCTTCACAAATGAACATTAATTGCTATGAACTGCATCATTAATGTAAATACTAACTTTCATAACAGTACTTCAAAGCAATTCTTTGGGAGGAATTTAATCCACAAGATAAAATAAAATTGACTTATTCTTTACAAAATATTTTTTTATCTATGATCGCAATGACCTCTTGAAGTACATGTATCAATGATTAAGAGAATCTTTCCAGATTTAAACAAGAAACAAATACCATTGGATTTGAAAATGAGTTGACAAGTTTGTCAAGTTTTACTGCAGTTAATGTATATAAACTGACACCATATATTATTGATGCAAAAATAAAACAAGGTTTTGGATCTGTCTGACATTAATCAGATCAAAATTCAAGCCAACCTGAATTGGAATCAACAATTAAAAAGGCTCAAATACATCACAGTAAAACACCACACACAAATGTACTTTTAGTGAACTCGGGGTCACATGTACTTTTAATTTTCAGTTGTTTTATGTTTATGAAGACACATTGTCGACCCTTTGTTATTTAACACCTTAACATGAATTATGCTTTTCACTTAGATTCCTTTCATTCTCAATTTTTTTTCATTATTTTTTGTAAGTTTTTGTTTACGTTGGAAAAGGAGAAAGCTTGAAGATTAAACCTGAAGTATCAAGCGTGGTAGCCAGCTAATGTATCATACCTATGTGTACATCTATATACCTCGCCAGACAACAATGCAATGACACCATGAAAAATTGGCCAATAACTCAAGTGTGTGCACAAAAAACGGGACATATTTTAATAATGAACAAAAATAAGTGATGATACGGTACAGGCTAACAGACTTCTGGCACCAGAATCAAATTGATTGAACTGAAAAATGCTGTCAGTAAACTGCCATTAAAATTAATGCTTCCGTCATCAGGTACCTTCTCTCTCTCCTTCCTACACTTATATATACATGTATAAGAAACCTCTCGGACAGTAAGTGAATCGAATACTCTGTATTTACCCTAATAAATATCTGTAAATACCAAGTAATGTATTAAATCTAATAAAACAACATCAATTAATCTTCTTGTAATAAATCTATTTGTTTTAATCGTGACCCCTTCAATATTATCCAATCACTACTTTAACACTGCTTTGGTCATTACCAGATCAGTTATGTACTGACAAATACATGTAAAAAACGTCTTTAAAAGGGGAAGTATATTTAGCAATGTTCTAAATAAAGACATACAGCAGCTAATAGCCTTAAAGCAAGTGACATTAACAGAAATAAAAGAAAAAGATTATATTGAGGAAATGTGTTTCAAGAAAAGATATTAAAGCATAAAGTAATGACAACATGATTATCATTGTAATGGATGGTAATTAGCAAGGATAAGGAACGGAAGGACCCATGGGCCACATGTCACTGTGCATTCACAATCAATTAAAAGTACCTTAACTTTGAATGAATAATATTATATTTATTGGAGCTGACAGATTGAAATGGTTCAAGAATTGGAAAAAGGCACAAATCATAATACAGGCTTCCTCATCATCTGTAGGGATTTCCATAACACAATGTGATACAATGGCATATTCCCCAAATTAGTCTGTATGTTCACTTTATTTTGACCATTATAAGCTAGACTATTGCTTTGTTCCTTTTTCCAAACTGACACATTGATTTAAATATCCCTCCATTTCTTACCATATGACCTTGGACTATACGGATACATACCTTGACCTATGAAAGTGTCATAATATGGAAGTAAGTTTGCTCTCTGAAGAACTCTGTATAGCTGCCATTCTGAAGAATTTCTTGGCTGGGTGGACGTCATGCCAACCGAAAAATCCTCTGAAAAGAACAAAACAGAAGTAAAGCTAAACAGAAAAAAGTTTTGTATTGTGAATCTGTTGTCTTTGACATAAAAGTATGAAAACTTAATTGAAAATTCATACAATTCATAAATTCCGACAATAGAGACGAAAATGGAAATTACAACAAGAAATTTAATTATTTTCTTATTGAGATGTCACCAAGACCTAATTATGGCACATGTCCAGAGCTACAATGGTCGAGTGGTTAAGGAATCTGACTGTCTATGATCACTCTTTTTCCACCACTGGGTCAGAGTTCCAAGGCCTTCATTGGGCCGTCGGCAGGTTTTGGCCACATGTACAGGTCTGAGTTTTTTTTTGGATACTCTGGTTTTCCTCCACCACCAAAACCTATAGCTCATCCTTAACTCATTCACCCCTGAGATTTTTTATAATGAACTATTCCAACCTTTGAGTAAGAGGAGTTCAAATGAGTCTTCAGGGGTGAATGAGTTAAATGACTATATTGGTTGATGGTACATGTATATGTAAACCACAAACAACTCAACTAAATGGCACAAGACAACTCTTCATCACTAGATAAAGCAGCACATACAGAAATATAGGTCACCTTCAACTGGTTACAGTGCTAAACACATCTTCAGCTCAAGATGTAACAGCACATAAAATTTGGTGAACCTATATATATATATATGAATGCACAAGGAAATTATAGCTCAGTTCAAATTCCATTTATATAATTACAGTTTCGTGTAATGGAAAATCCTGGTCACTGTAACCTAGTCACAGTGCATGGCACACCTTTACTCCAATATGTAATTAACAGCAAATGGAGTTTGGTCAACCTGATTCAAAACTACAAGAAAACTGTATATATGGCCTTGGAACAACCATCATGGACAAGCGCTGTCACAATATACTGGTACCGTACTGCAATACACCCTAAGCTATATCGCACCACGGTACAAAATAGGAACACCCTGTACAGTTTTTCCAGCATGGGTGTTTTTATTACTTGATGTTTATCTTGGATAATTACCATGAATTATAAATACATATGACTACTCAAAAGTACAATGTCACAATGCATATCCAAAAACTCCTGTCATTCCTACTTCTGCTTTTGCATTGTCTAGACTCACTAAGGTGTTTGAAAATTATCTTCAAATCATGATAAGCGAACATGGATGAAGAAAGCTTTTATTATGTGTTAAATAAAACGGCAAAATGTACGATCTGGGAACATTTCTGTTTGAAACATATCAAAATATATTGCTGTACTATTTTATGTATCGTGACACACATATTACATGTACGACAACACAAATTTATCATAAACATTCATCATTTTTTATTGGGGATATAGATATAATGTTTCAAAAATATAGAGGTATTAATACAAACTATTTATTGAAATATTACTTAAAACAAGAGGCCCAGAGGGCCTCTATCGCTCACCTGTTTCTTTTGTAACATGCAACTGACATATAGGTAACTTAAGACCAAATTTGGTAACTAGAACACAAGACATTTTAATATCTCTTAAACGGTTCTGAAATTATTGTTGTTTGAAACTTGAAATTTTAATGTCAAAGCTTTTAACTCATATTGACCTTTGACTCCCGACTTGCACTTAAAGTTGACCTTTGACCTCATTACTGTAATAAAGAAAACAATTCACACAGCTGGTCTACATAACATACCCAAGTATCATGACAATAGTCCAAATGGTTCTTAAGATATTGTTGTTTGAAGTTTTTAACATATTTAACCCCAGTGACCTTGAAAGTAGGTCAAGGTCATTTTAATGAGGAAACTTTATAGCACTCCATCCCAGCTACCTACTGGCCAAATATCATGACCCTAGGTCCTACAATTCTTCAGGAGAGGTCGTTCAAAAGAAAAAGTTGACGGACGGACACCGGACGCCGGATGTCGGATGCCGGACGCCAGACGCCGCAGTACGGCATAAGCTCACATGGCCCTTCGGGCCAGGTGAGCTAAAAATATAATGAATTTCATGTCTGTATTTTTATATTAAGATGATTCATGAACTCATTGGTGTTAAATGCTCAGTAAAACTGTCACGTTTCTCTGTTTATGAATAATTAAGCTACATTACAAATGTTCAATTATTGTTTTGCCTGCAGTAACTTATAAAACTCAATATTGCTTTTCAAGTACTTTGAACAACATATTTTTTCTAAAACTTACATAAGTGTACCATATTGAAATCAATATTCCAGCAGCTGCTGTTCTACATCAGAAAATGTCTATAGAAAGTGTGATTTTTTTCCAGGAAATAGCAAATTAGTAATATATGGACACCAAATTAAAGATCAAATATTTTATTTTTTTTCAAACATGAACATGACAGTCTGTTACCAGTGCAGTAACTTATGGTAGCAGATATATATGTGGTTCAACATCCACCAGCTCACAGCTCGGTCACAAACCGTATCTTCATGTAAAATGCTACTGCAGCTACATGCATATCTGCACTATGAATATTCAATTTGTAATTTAAATATATAAAAACGCAGAATTTTTTAATGATATGTATATCTGACAGCATAGGTACCATTATCAAAGTAATACGTTTGATTTAGCCTTGGATTAAAACTTTTTTTAATCCACATTTTTATCAAACAAAATATCTAGACTATGTTAGTTTAACACTACCTTGGCCAGATCCATTCTTGCCAGCTATTAGTCCAAAATTTCCGCCAGAAAGCAAAATTGTAGATTAAATGACGAGATTTAATTGATTGTAATGTAGTTATTTGTTATATTTCAGGATATTTGCAATATATTGAATTGGTTGTAAAAGTAAACTTGCTTGTTTCACGACAAACGATTGTGAAACAATGTCAAGTGTGACTTTTGCCTCTGACCTTTGAACCTTTAACCTCAAATGATGACCACCAACATCTAATAAGGTGTAGAACTCGATGTTACCATACCATGGAGTAAATACCAAATAGATTTGCTGAAGTGTTCGCGAGATTTCATGTATATATACATAAGCTTTTTACAACAGAAGAATGTTTAACCGTTGACCTTTGACCCTTAAACCTTGATAGATGACCACCAAAATCTAACGAGGTGTAGAATAGAATGTAACCATATTTACTAGGGTGTAAATAAAAAGCTGAACTTGGATATGATGACGGCCTACATGTACCTAGGGGGTTGAAACATGTGAAATGGATTTAACTTGCTGAGAATGGTGTATGGTCATCTCTTCTTTTGATAAATTTGTAAAGGAGTTTGTTATCTTGTTTGTACACAAGGATTCTATTTCAAAAGTGGAAAATTGTGATCTTTGACCATGACCTTTGACCCTTTAACGTTGGTCAATGACCACCCAAATATATGAGGGTGTAGAACTTGATATTAACCTTTGACCCTTAACTTTGACTGATGCACCACAACTGTAAATTGAAGTACTTACAGCTTCTTTAATGAAATAAAGTTGTAATATCAAACGACCACAAAATAACAGCAACAGAGCTAGCCATAATATTCTGCTATTACTCCATGGGATAAATATGCAAGACCACACACTTGTGTTTCTCTAACGAATCAGAAAGCACGAGTTTATTGCGCGGATGAATATATTCACGAGTGCGCGGAGCGCAACGAACGAATATATACGTCCGCGCAATAAATGAGTGCTTTCTGATTCTTTAGAAAAATACAAGTGTGTGGTCTTGCTTTTATCACATACCTTTCGTATTTGGTAGAGATCGATACAAAGATTTTATATTTTTTGCAAATACTGGGAACTTTTCAGTTCGCCATGACAAGGGGATTCCCATAAAATGTAGTTCCGGCTAGGAGGTAAATACAACATTCCGTATTGCACATGTGCAATACAGAACATTGTATTTCATGGTCTGAAAATTGCTTGTATTACTATAACAAGATTCAACAGGTATGTGATAAAAAAAATTATATACACCGGTATATGGTCTTGTCAAGATGACAATGTTTTTACACAGGAAGTTTCAATTGTTATTTACAGTTGATCCATTTTCCTTCAATATGACCTGCATAACAAGTTGGCCAAAACTGACTTGAATTGACCATCTGATGTAAAACAATAACAAAAAAGTAAAAGTAAAAGAATATTTTCAAGTAAAATATATGCAAAAGATACAAATGCTATTATCGCATGATGTACCAAATAATAGCAGGTGGTCAGGTGTCGTGCCTAGAGCTGTCGCAGGCTAATACCTTTACAGGGTGATGAAAATTGTACAGCACTGAGGACAAATATTTTATATTAAAGTCATATGTTCATCATATAATGTCTGTGTTCTAATCATCGCTCTTGGCCATGGAATTATTGCAAATCGATGCTACAGATACGCCGCTATATGCTTTATGTAGTTATATTACCTGTAGCATATACACACCATGCAAACAGGATGCTACCATATCTTTGCCTGCCAAAGTGACAGCCAGTCAAGTGTGATGCAGTTTACCAGTAGTGTGTACACAGTTATAAAGAACTAGCATGGCTACTGTATCACAGCCAGTCCCCCATGCTTCTATTCACAAATGCTGCTATAACATCACATTTTTTATGTCGAATAGTTCATTTAATAATCTAACAATATATGTATGACTTTGTAATATTAGAAATGTCACTTTCTTGAATCCTCACACCTACACTGATTATCTCCCTTTATTTCCACTAAAGTACGACAATTTCTAATCTGATATATCTACATGTATATAACCTAAATGTTATAATACTTAAATCAAATGAATGCTGTTATATAAACTACCAGTTAATCTATTTCAAACACAGGTCAAATGTAACCCTTGACCCTTTAGCTTTGACTGATGACCAATAATATCTTCTCGGGTGTTGAACTTAATGTTGCCATCCCTTGGTTTAAATACAGCTAAATCTGTTGAGGGGTTTGATTTTTCTGGTACATACAGCCAAACACACACACACCGTTATTTGAAACTTGAGCTCAAAGTAGACTTTTCATCACAAAT